GGCCAAAGCTGCTGGATCAGGGGAGCGTGAGTGCTGAAAGAGCCCCACTGGGACACAGACACACACTGGGACCAAGAGGACACAAAAGCAGGCACGCTCTGCAGCACAGCCCTGCACCCCATCGCTGCTGGCGCTAGGCCTGTCCTGTGCTCGAGCAGCCTTGTCTTCCACAGAACTCACCAAAAGCCACTGGGCACACTTGCTGAGAGAAGCAAGGCCACGTGTAGCATCCAATAGAGAAACATCATGCACAGGACCTATTTTAAAAACCAAACTTTAACCTGTAACACTTAGGATTTTCACACTCATGCAGAAGTGAAAATCGAGTATTCCATAAGAGAAACTAGTAATTGAGATGCAACATATCTGACATTAAGCAAGCAGTGAAAAGTCACAACACACCTTTTATCACAGCTTGCAAACTAATTAGCACCAGTGAGGCTTTTCCTTTTCATAGCATTAATGTCAGGGAAATATTTATAGGTATGCCACAGGAAGCATCCACCAAAGGCCTCGAGAACAACAAAGCCCGAAAAACATGCCACTCAATGCTGCATTCCTATTTTGCTGCTTCTCCAGGTCTGCGTAAGCACCCTAACAGATTTTACATCAGGAGCAGAAGTTGTAGGCAACTGCACTGCTTCTTTCTAGGATTTCCTTGTTCAGGAAACCACCACATTTTGTGCGGAAAGACAGAGAAGCAATCAATGTGGCACCACTGATGGAAGCACCGTGCTGCTGAAGTCCTCCCCTCTCTGCAACGCTCACTGCTTTGGCTGCGCCACCTAAGAAAGCTGCCTGGGCAGCTCCTGGCCTCACCAACACCAACACTCCTGAGCGGCAGATGCTGACAGTGACTTTACAATGAACAAATTTAGATGCAAGCTATTTACTTTAAAGGAAAGGCAAAGAGGCACTCATAGCGTGGTTGGCAAAGAGCAAGTTACCTTAAGCTCACCTAGAGACGTGAGGTGTGGTCACTTACTTAAAACCAAACCAAGTGTCTTCCAGAAAGACAAAATTGAGCTCTATGAAAATTTAAGATTCCAGCTAAATGGAAATCTGCAGTGGTCATATCCATGGAAGGAGATTAAAACCAAGCACCTCAGAAGTCATCTGCTGAGGTTCAAATCATCCCGCTAACCTAAAGCAAGTTTTTAAAAATACTGTTTTGTCAGTAGATATTGGAGTAAATTCTCCTCCAGAAGAACCACAGCTGTGCACATGTTGTCAGTCGCAGTGTGAGCATGGCAGAATTTGAAGTTACTCCATGAAATATAACAACTTCCCACAGCTGAAGCCGTGTTTCATAGAACAGAAAGCATTTGGTACAGAAAACAAGGTGGCAATTATAATAATAAAAATATATATCCTGAGTTCTGATACCAAGCAGATTTTCCCCGAAATTATTCAGATCCCACGTGCCTCTCTGTCCTTCTTAGCCTGCTTTACCTCGGGCTGCTCCTCTCTCATTGCACACCAGGACACCACAACCCACCATGGGGAGAAGCTACAGCAGTGACTCAACACAGAAGAAAGATCTGTAAAACCATCCTTTAATAGAAACAAGTCCTGATGATTTCAGCCCAAACTCTGGGGCTCAGTAATGGTTTGAAAGCTGGATTTGTGCCCTGGCAGGAATCTGTTCCCTCCCTCACGTACATTCAGCTGGGCGTTGTATTGCCCACTGTCTCTGGCACTCAGCTGTGCGATGAGAAATGCTTACTGTGCCACACCAAACATCATTACCTCAGAAAAGGGAAATGTTTCCTATATTCAGCAATGGAACAATTGCACTGCCCTCCCCACGCTGCAGACCCCTTACAGCCTTCACAGGTACCATGCAAAGGCAGGTGAACGTAACAGAATCCATCAAGCAGACATCTGGGACAAAACTCCTCATGACAATATTCACAGCTGTGAATTTTCACTCCCAGCTGCTGCTTCGCACTGACCTGGTGACAACACCACCATTCAGGGCGTCCTGCACCAACCACGCAGACACTCACGTAGCATCACACACTGAACTGATGGCACAACAGAAAACACAAAGAGCACTTTGTGAGGATGCACATTACGTAAACCATTTCTCTTCTTTAAGCCTTCCTTCCTTACGCAGGGATTTACTGATCAAGTTTTAAGACTATCAAAAAGATTCGGATCCATTTCCTCCCAAATTCCCCACATCTACTCCAGGTCTTGTGTCTCAATGATGATACACCAGTACAGTACTGAATGAGAGCCAACTCAGTATTTGTTCTTGTCACTGCACAGCAGATACACAATACAGCACCCACTTTGTTTTATTACATACAAGCATTGCTATATATTCATGTTGGATACAGAAGACAAGACCAAAGAAATAAGTATAGCATACGCAAAAAAAACTGTACAATTTGGCGAGGATCTCAGAAGTCAGAATGCAGCCCAGAGTAGAGGCAGGCCACGGGAAAGGCCATCCTTCACAACAGGGTACCTTTGGGGTCGCTGCATGGCACTTCACAACCCAGCTTGCCAGTTACACTCTGCAATCAGCATATTTTAGATATCCTGACACTGCTGTAGTTAGAGCATCAGAACATCAGTTAGATCAGCTGAACATCAGAACTGACACAGGCAACACGAGTTTGTATTTTAAGAGAAACCAGTGCAGGACCAGAAGACAGATGCCCTGCTGGTATTGAGACATCCCACACTAGCTGCAGTTTCTGAAGGACTGGGCCGCCTGCCCACGTGTGCTGCGTGCCTGCAGCCCAGCTAGGAGGTGATGAAGTGCAGCAAAGTCATTAATCAGCATGACGAGCCATAGTAACCCAGAGAAAACTGATGGCAGAGAGCACGACTGCTGGGGAAGAGCTGTGACAGGGAGGATTCCAGCTGCAGCTCCTCTGAGTGAACAATCCTGCAATGCATCCTCAACCAGACGCAGCCACAGAACGCTACAGGCCCACCACGATGACTCCACCTGTTACAACACTTCCTACTCCATCGAGGACAACTTTTGGGGCCGGGATCAATGAACCAGCCTGCTTCTGGCTGCCCAGCACTCCCCCCCACCTGCTTTCCAGTAGGTGACCTCATCCCAACATCACCTCCTCCTGCTGCTCCCGACCACAGGAAGGTAGGGAGCCTGGGAGCTGCCGTTTGATCATTAAATCAATAAGCTCGAAGCATAAACATACCCTACCGTTTGTCCCTCTGAGCCGACCTGCATTGCCCTGGGGCACGGCCAGCACTGACGCCACCCAGCAGCGAAGCACGGCCTCGCACAGAGCAGCTGCTCTCAGCACAAACCCGGTTTGCACAAAAAAGAAACTCAGGTGTTTTCACACAGCAGCCAACCTTCTCTGCAGCTCCGTGTCAAATCAGGGTTTTAACACACAGACATCATTACCCACGTGCTTCTGGCCGTGATGAGGGATCCAGGCACACGCGGCCGGACCTGCAGCACAGCCTCATTTCCACACACGCACAGCCACTTGCAGCCAAACACCCACAGCTGTAAAGCACAGCACGAGGCGGCAGCCAGCCGCGTTCAGCAGACATAAAACCAGCGTTGCGTCCCACAGCTCCTACCTGCGTCCGCGCTGCAGGCTGAGCTCCAGCGAAGCCCCGACTGACCCGTACTGGGCTCAGCCCCATCCCAGAGGCGGCTCCCAGCCCACGCGGAGCACCGCCATCCCCGCACCTGGGCACAGCCCGCACCTCGCTGCCTGCGGCCCCGCCCCCTTCCAGAAGGTTCCCAGCCCCGCCCCCTTCCAGAAGGTTCCCCGTGGTGGCGCCACCATTGCCCGGCAGAGGCGAGGAGTTGCTGCGCTGAGGATGGTTGCTCTGCGCTGTGCTCAGTGCGCTTCAAGCGCTCTGTGGAACGCATTGCTTCCCTGGAATCGCCCGCTTTTTATGACCCTCCGAGCCTGGCAGGAGCTTCTTTCCCTTCCTGCGGCCAACTCAGGAACGCGGTTCTGTTTCGCTCCCCCATCGCTGAGAGCAGCGGTTGCAGCTCATTATCTCATAGTTTAATCTGTAGGAAAAAATGCAGCAAAGAAGCTGGGAGCGAGCTAAGGATCCACTGGGATGAGTGTGGGAGTAGTTGTGTCTTTCCAAGGCAGATCTTTCCGCTCTCAAAAATCAGCTGAAGCTGAATTAGACTGTTTATACTTTAGCTCTGTACGTTTCAATTTGAAGCGCTCGGTGCCAAGTGTTGATAGGCACCCAAAAAAGCTGCCAGGGGCACCTGGCTGTGTCAGCACTGTGTTCTCAGCAGTGCCTGCTAAATAAACTGGCTGCAGGTGGGGAATGGCTTTTTGGGCCACAAAATGAGCAGGGGGCTGAGCACCTGCACTATGAAGACAGGCTGAGGGAGCTGGGCTTGTTCAGCCTGGAGAAGAGAAGGCTGCAGGGTGACCTCATGGCAGCCTGCAGTACCTAAAGGGAGCCTGCAAACAGGAGGGGAATCAACTCTTGGAAAGGATTGATAACAGCAGGACAAGGGGAAATGGTTTGAAGCTGAGGGAGGGCAGATTGAGGTTGGGTGTCAGGGGAAGTTCCTGCTATGAGAGCGGTGAGGTGCTGGAACAGCTGCCCAGAGAGGCTGTGATGCCCCGTCCGTCCCTGCAGGTGCTCAAGGCCAGTTGGATGGGGCCCTGGGCAGCCTGGGCTGCTGTGAAATGTGGAGGTTGGTGGCCCTGCGTGTGGTGGGGGGGAGGGGTGGAGATTCATGATCTTTGAGGTCCCTTCCAACCCGGGCCATTCTGTAATTTTGTGTGATTCTTTGCTGTGAAGGTTACAGAACACTGGCACAGGATGCTCATATGTGCTGGAATCTCCTCTGGAGATATTCAGAATCCCCCTGGGGGCTTTCCTGCATAACCTGCTGCAGGGAAACTCTGTGATGGGGGGAGCTCCAGGGGTCCTTTCAACCCCTAACTCTACAACAGGCTGCTCAGGGGAAGAGATGTGCTGTTTATCTGCTCATGAAAGGAAGAATAAGCTCACAAGGCTTGTAGATAAAAAGAGTGTATATGATATCTACAGTGTTGATATTAAAAATAATTAAACATATTTTAGTTGTTAGACACTCCAATTTAACTTTCAGGTTGTTCCGATCAGTATCACTGTAAATTCTTCTGTCCTGTAAGATAAAGAAAATGATGTTGGAAAAGGCACTGATGCACCCCAAAGAAGACGTGGATGGCATTTGGTTCAGTGCAAGTCACTTACTTCTGTCAGGAGAAGACGATATAAACCATCAGTGCACAGCCCACTATCCAGCCAACTGCGAGCAGGATGGGTACCACAAGGCGTGAAAGGGGGAGCTGTGCTGAAAGAGGAATGAGAGGGCACACGTTACATTGACTGTGAGCTCACTGCCCTAAACACAACAAAGCTGTTGTTATCTCAAAACAAGAAAGATACGTGAGTTTGGGCCACATCTACAATGGCTATTTTTGGCATGGAGTCACCATGTCTTGGCAGGTACATATACATAGCAAAACCCAAAGCCATTTCCACGCTCTGGTCTCTGCAATCAGATAGGTGCAAGGCTTAACACTTCCAAAAGGAGCAGAGAGCAGAGACAGAAGCACTGTTCTGTCCTTGGCCTCCACAGGTCATCAGGAGAACATCTGGACTGGATGGAGAGCAGACTCAGGTTCAGTAGCCTGAACGTACCTGTATAGCACCTTCCAGAAGTCTCATGAGCTTGACGACAGCAAATTAAAAATACTGCAATTATATATATATACTATAAATATATAATTATATACTTATTTACATATATACTACATATATATATAATATTGTACCTGTTTAATTTAAGATTAATGTGCCTGGAGGCACAATGAGGGGGTGCTGAGTGAGCGGGGTGTTTGCCCAGGGCTGTGCCTCAGGCACCCATCTCAGCACTGTGTGTGCAGTGCTGGCTTTGCCCTCTTCTCTCTCCTGTCCTGCAGTGAGACAGGGTATTCACTGCAAGGGTTTCCCTTGGCTTAAAGAAAGAAAATAACACATAAACTATCTGCCTTAGTTGGGCCACAGAAATCTGACGTCTTGCCTGTTCCATCCACTAAGAACTAAAATAGGCTAATAAATAGCTTGGAGGCAAATTGAGGTGGTGGTTCTCCGGGAAGCACACAGAAAGCAGGAACAGCCCTTATAAACGTGAGCCTGGGCAGCAACAGAGTTTCAAAGACCCTCCTCGCAGTTTGTAGCAAATAGCAGAAGCTTGCCATTAAGCAGCACATCAACCTCAGAAACTGCATTAGTTACCAGCATATTGCAGAATGCAAAAGTACAACATTCTGCAGTTAAAAGGCTCCTGGGTTTTTGAAGGATTAATAAATAATGTAAAACTCTCCACAACACCTGCACATTTGACATCCAGTAGAGAGACTTTGGAGGGATGCTGAATAATTTAAGGCTTTCCATATTGCTCTTAAAAAACCCCACCAACACAGCCATGGTATTCCATGGTACATCTACCAAGTGGGAAAGAGCACATGGGTAGAAAATCTGCGCGTGCTGCCATTAAAACATGAGGCACATAAACAGCAACCATGCAGCACAAGGATACACACTTGCTATGCAATAGAGTGTCCTTTTGCCATAGGGGAATCCTTGCTTGTTTCCTGTAAAGAGTGTTTGACTCTGTGTAAGAAAGGTCCTTCTGTTGGGAATCATTGCTCTTTCATTCTCCTAAAGATCCTGTTACACATAAAGGTCTGGACCCTACTGGGGCACATGGAAGAATTTTGATAGAGCTCTGCCCGCTGCCAATATATCTGCTGGATATGGTGTTTTGTTATGTGAGATCCACTTGAAATGCAGAAAGGTAGGAGGAGCAAGCCAGCGCTGACAGGTCAGCAGGAATGCTGGGCCACCATTTGTCATGGGCAGCAAGCAGCTGGCTCTGAGCGATAGAGTTTCACAGGAGCCATTAAGAGTACTTGTGTTTCATTGCTTAAGAGCAGAGATGACTATGAGATCATCTGCTCTGATCCCCTGCATGTCACGGGACAGATACTCCAAGTGAGAGTAAAGCAGCTTTGTGAAGACTACTTTATGCCACGAGCAGGGGATGCTGAAGCACCGAGCACAGCTCGTGCACAAGGCTGGGTGCTAGGCTGCATGAGACATCCAGGGTAACCTGTGTGCAAGGCATCACTCAGAAGGTGGCAAACTCCTTTTGCAAGGCCACAGAAGAAGGTGACAGACTGCAGGGTTCCAATCTTTGGGAAAATATCCCGAGCCTCAATCTGACAAGCACACATCACTCTCCCCGTGGAGCAGAGCTGGGCACACCCACAGCTGCAAAGACAGCATCTGCACTGCCCAGTGCTCAGTGCTCAGGCTGAGCTCCGGTGAGGGGCAGTGGGACAGCAGCAGGGGAGCAGCACTCCTAGGTAATGGAAAGAAATCTTTACTGACCCCTGCAGGTAATCAGCTGCAATCCTGAGATGTGAGGATACATCATAATTGCTGTTATAATGAATGCAAATGAGAGCAGGATACTGAGGGAAACGTGGGCTGTTGAAAAGCAACCATGAGCATTGCTTCTAAACAGGAAATCAAGCCCAGCTGCTGGGCTAGAGCCCACTGAAAGCAAAAGGACGAATCTGGGTGGCAGCAAGAATAAAGGAATCTTACTGTGACCTGTGTACATAAGCTGGCATTCTAGCTATGAATTACTTTCTTTTTCCTCCACTGCAGTAATTTTTCTCTATTTCAGACATGAATTTATCTCAAAATAAGAGAGGGGCAGGTCAGAGTGGCAAACACAGCACTTCTGTATTTCTGCAGAGCTTCTCTGCATGCAACAAATAGTGCACAGAGTACTGTGCCTTCACAGATCAGGAGCCCCAGAATTGTCCATGATGGGATGCTGATGTGCCACAGCAATGTCAACAGCTGGTCAGCAGAAATCTGGGAAGGAAGGAGCACACATCTCCTGCACCATCCTTCAACTGCTGGCACTGGACACAGGAAGCACGGTCCGTGCCTGGTGGCACAGGGTGCCTGGCTGTCCCAGGGTTGCACCATGCGTTAGGTGGAGCAGACAGGTGTCCCACCACCTCTCCACATCCGACGCCACTTGCCTGCATCCTGGCTGCCAGCTCCAACAAACCAGTTTTTCTGAATTCCACGCATGCTACCAATAGAGCGTGGTGCTCTAAAACCCAGTTTAAAGCAGATTGAACACAGACAGGCTTTGTGCTGATGGCTTTTGCCAGCTTCAGACTTGAAAGTCACACAAGCCCAGCAGCCAATCTTTCTGTCTGGGTCTCCCGGCCGTGCCAACCCATGCCCCAGTGATGCCCAGTCTCACAGTGCCAGGCTCCCATTGCTGCCCCAGGCTCTGGTTGGCTCCAGCCTGGCTCTGTCTCTCACCTATGGCTGCATCACTTTTTTTCTTTTCTTAAGCACAGACATAAAGATTCTACCAGTGCTACACATGCATCCGTACTCATTCACAGTGGAATATCAGTGTAATTTCCATGAACACCAATGAAAAGAAGGATTAAGAAATGGCATTTAGTTCCCAGTTGTACCCAAGCTCAGCAGCATTTCACTGTCCTTTTAGATACCAGTGGTAACTGTGCCATAGACAAGAGGCACAGGGCTTTAAGAGCTACTGGTATACCTAGGAAGGTGGATAAGTTCCTCTTACAAGTAAAAGCATTGCTGAGTAACTGTGCATGGCTGACACTGTAGATAAGCACACAGCTCTGTCACCGTGCAAACTTCTTTGGTGAGCCAAACAGAGAGTGACAGTGAATACAAAATGCATTTTTATAAACTGCCTTTTCTCATCTTCAGTGGAATTGTGCTCACAGCAAACAGTGCATTATTAAAATCTCATTTTATTCTGCCTTTGGGCTTTGCAGAGTTAAAATCTAAATTGCTTTGTGTTCACCTAGCATTGTGCTCAGACTGCAGCTATGCAATAGATCTAAATTACTGTCAAACGTAACTCAATTTCCATGGTTCAGTTTAATTACATTCATCAACTTAAAATCACAACTGCAAAAACAAAAGAAAATAAAACGGGTAGAATTCAGAGGCAGGAAGAACTGGAGCTACTTTAAACTCACCGCTGCTAACAGAACTAAGAAATCTTGGGCTTTCTTACTAGAAAGAAATTTGCACAGTGTGACTGAACAACAATTAGTTCTACACGAAGAGCTGAGCATTCTCACCTCATGCTGTTCACGTTTATGACTTTTAAGAATACACAGCCACGCTGACTTCTAATCACACACCTTACCTGGCTCTGCCATTCCTCCCTCTGCTGGCTTTATTGACAAGGTTTAAGGTTTGCCTCTGCAGTTATTCCCGTGAGCGCCGGGATGCTTTAAATAGAGCAATATTTGGAATGCGCCGCAGCTGCTTTGCTCACTGCTGCCAGTTTTTGGCTGTATGTTTGCAATTGTTTAGAAAGGCAGGAGTTCAAGGGATTGAAGCTCACCTCGTCCCGTTCCTGCAATCACACACCTGTTTTCAAAGAAAGCTGAACATAGAAGGGTCCTTATTTGGAAAGAGAGAGAGAGAGAGATGGGGGCATGGACAGCTTTATGGTCTCTTAACGGCTAGGAAATACTGCATGATAAATTTGTGCCATATGTGCACACATACTTAGTGTATTCACTCCAAAAGGTCATAACATACAGACACGGGCTTTCATTCCTTCTATAGGTAACAGGCAACAATTCCAAGGCAGGAATGGTTTTATCCTAAAGAAAGAACAAAGAGGTTAATCAAAAATTATTGCACTCTGCACTCTCTAATTCAGAAGACGAAAACATGGAGATGAGTGCCAGATCTCTGTCAAAAGGGTAAAGTGCACATCATCAGCTTTCCCACCCACCACATAAGGAGAGCTCCACACAACAACCACTTGGGGTGACCCCAGCTACATTTTCTGAGCAATAAGAACTACTCATTGTGAGCTGGGAGAACCAAAAACATACAGCACAGCCAACAGAGCCTGCATGGTGCATCACACACCTACAGGAAGCCCCAAAGCCTTTCTTCAGGCAGGGGGGGACATTTATCAGACTTGTAGCAGCTTGGTACATCATCCCATTCCAGAGCTGTGCCAGATAGCAATGAAACTGGGATGCTTCCTGAGTGCTCCTGAAGGGGAAAAGAACCCAGTTTGTTCCAAAGCCATTCCACAGAGCAGGTGCACAGGGCATCTAATCTGGACACTTGCAGAACTCAGAGGGGTTCATCATGTTCCCTGGGAAGATGAAGGAGGGCTCAGAAACACAGCGTGCGTGTCTTCTAAAAAAGATTATCCCTTACTTGTGTGCTTGTTAATTAAATACATAAAAATTCAATTCCCGTTACCTCCCGGCTTCAGTTATTTTTTCTTTTGCAGTGGCTGTGAAGATCACAGCTCCCTTGGAGCTCCTGTTTCAGGCAGCCTACAGAAAGGGAATTAAACCAAAGTTTGCACCTAGATCCCAAGGTGGATAAAACAGGGACTCTTCAGGTCAGCATGGTCAGACGTGTCCCAGAGCGGGATCCTAACCCACGTGTCTAACACCAAGATGCCCAGAACTGCCGTCATTGGGCACGGACACATCGCTGCCCACCCCCTGATCCCACGGCCACAGAGGCAGAGCAGAAGGCTGAGGGTGCACAGCCAGCGTTATGTCTACAGAACAGCTGGAGACACAGCCTTCAGAACACCCAGAGGAGACATAATTCAAGGTCTGATTTTTTTCAGGAAAAAATACATTTTTGTCCTAGATGCAAAAATGGAAACCGTGGCCCCCAGGCTGCGTGTGACTTGCATACATCTATGAAATATTTTCACTTGGGATGAACAAAAAAAAATGGATAGCGGTGGAACATTTTAAATACAATTATTTGTATTGCGGTGATCAGTATCTTAGAAACGATGTAACACACACAGTGACAGAGCAGCATTCAATTCTGGCAAAACTTCACTGAAGACAGTTGTTTTACATCAGTGATGAATTTAGCTTTGTATAGATTGGTTTTGTTGCTTACTATAAACAGTTCTCATTTTTTGGTCCTCTGAGTTTGGCATGAATTCTAAGATGGCGAGTGCAGAACAACTGAAGCCAAGCCATGCCACCTGAGGACTTGGACTTCTTCACCAGCTGCTGCACTGGATACCCTGACCAAGCTGCTCCTCAGCCACTCCACGCTCCCCATCCCTTAGGCTCACAACTTGTGCTTTCTGAGGCACTGCTTCCAGCTCTGCAGATCCAACAAACATAGAGCTTCACTGTCCTCCCAGTCCCACCAGTCCCACACCTGTCTCTGCAGACTGCATTTTTCCATCAGCTTTGGCATCACCTTAAAACCAGCAGACCTTTAGGGAGCTGCTGCTTTCTAGGGTTTCCAGTGGGCATTTGCTGGCTTGAGGCACCCTGGCCCTGTGGGTAGTGCACAGGAAAATCTCCACGAGCCCCACAGAGGATCAACAAAAGCCTTCCACTGGTTTCTAGAGTTTAAGCAAACGCTGCATTAATATCAGCACTAAAACAGCACATTTCCCAAGCACTGAGCTTTCAGGTACTGAAGATCCCAGAAGGTCCCACTGCCTCCAATCTCCTGCAGGACAGCTCTCCTGGAAAAACACTCACCCTTCCCCACACTTCTCTGCTTGCCCAAGGTGGGTATACTCCTACAATTATAACATTTCATGGCACAATGCACCATTTGCTGTCTCGTGTCATTTTGAGACAGAATAAAAAGTGAGTTAGGCTACGCTCCTAGCCAAGCTCTGCAGCAGAACAACGGACATTTTGGGATACAAGCCAATTTGTTGTAAAAAGAAATATGATTCCATTCCCTGTGTCATGTTTTATTAAATACAAAAAACTCTGATGCAATAACTTCATTGGCTGCTAAGCTGTTCCCGTAAAAATGCTATCTGTTTTTGGTTCTGCTAATTATATATATACATCTGATCTAATGGAAATAATTTCTACCAGGAGCCATGTATCCCTAACAAGACAATCTGACCTTCACAGATTGGGATCTTTCCAGGCTTTGTTGCCTTAAGCAAGGACAGAGTGTCATTGCTCTTTGCAATGGTTTTGATAACTACTACCCTAATTTAGCTGAAAGCACAGTAAGTCTTCTCCGCAAATCTAAAGCGTGAGGTTAAGGATATGAAAGTTGTAAGCACAGAAAAATGTAGCATGACAACATGGACATGATTTTAAACATTCACATCTTCCGTTTGGAAGGGAGGAATGAGCTGCAGACATGATTTTCTACAGTAGATCTCAGCCCAACAGCCAGTCAACGCCGGGTGCCAGTTCTGAAGTGTACGAAAGCAGGAGAGTACACAGCGCTTAAGGAAAAGCTCAAGAGAATTACTGGTGGCAAATAAGCATCTTCTCCTTTCCTAGCTGAAGTAAAATATGCAAGAAAAACCAATTTGTTCAACTTGATTTGCGTTTCACATTATATTATAGTTTGTTTTCCTCTGTGCTTGTGCAGGAAGAATAAAATCCTCACTGCACATCGCTGGAGCTGTGTGATTGATAGTGGTGGGTTGAGAAGTGCTGTAGCTGAGGTACCCACCAGATGTGTCCCATTGGAGCAGTCCTCTGGGTGCACTTCCTGACTCCAGTACCATTCACAGCTCCACGCTAGGAATGCTTTTATCATATTCTAAATACTTCCAGTGCTCTAAGTGAATTGGGGCCAAAATTAGGAGGAACCAATAAGCCAGTGAGGCTGTAAGTCCTTCCGGAAGAGAAAACCATATCGAGGGCAAGAGCAGCACTGATTTCTCTTCTGCAGATCCACGTGGGCTTTGCCAAAGGAAAGAGAAAAAATGTGAGGCTGCTGCTGGAGCCCTGTGCTGGCTGGAGGTCATGCATGCAGATCACAGACCCGCTTGTTCCCAGCAGAGCCGCAGTGCTGCTGGCTGCAGTGAGAGCCCCAGGCCAGCCATTCAGCTGTTGTTGTGCCAAAGCTTTGGCCAAGGGTTTGCAGGAACGAAGTCCCTAGCTGCGCCAGGGAGCACCTCACCTCACGTTACAAAGTGCCTTGTTCTGCTGATCGCTATCTTTTGGCTGTTCCTGCAGTTACACACAGGAACCGTGTGAGCCTGCCATGGCTGAGCTGCTTAACTGCAGCAACAGGAGGGCTGGGAAGGGCTGGGGAGCTGCTGGCACCCGCAGCACAGAGGGGAGCTCTGTCTGCACAGCAGCCACAGGAAAGGAATGGACAAGCACAGCCAGCGGCCAACCCAGGAGAAACGGCAAGAAGAATCGAGCCAGCGCTATAAGGAATGCGTTTGTGGGGCTCTTTAACAGGTTGAAGGTTGTATAGAGGCCTTCCAGCAGTCCACAAGGCCTGAGGACACATTGCCACAACGTGCTGCAGGGAATCAGTTCTCCTGTAGCAGTGCTGGGTGCAGTTAAGCAGCCGTGACGCAGCATCGCTGCATCCCACCACACTGCTCCCTCCCCAGCTCTGCAGGGCTGTGAGCAATGCCCTCTGCCCTGCTCCCCCCCTCAGTGCTGCTCCCTCAGGCAGAGCACGGGGAAAGACAGCCAGAAGCAATCACACATCACCTCGGTAAGAGGCAAACCCTTCCCCTTTTGTACCACGCACAGACATTCTCTACAGCACAGCCCCTCAAGGAGGGCCAGGAATACAACGGGGAAAACAAATACAGCCCGCTTCAGAACAGATGCATTTCCTTATGCCACCTCTGCCCAGTTCGGGTGATTTAATGCCTGATGTTTGAGAAGTAACAGCCAGAACACCTCATTAAAATTTGGCCACATTGCAACAAGAACTGGCAATATTTTTTCTTTACACAACTAATAAATTTACAGTACATTCTCATCTTTGCCCCTTTACCTAGCAGTGGATTATTGAGCACTAGAACATCAAAGTGAAGCTTTCGTTAGCCTTACTTCTAACACCAGAAAGGCTTCGTGCAGCGCTCAAGAGGTGGCCAAAGACACACCTAAGGTTGTACAAATCCTGCATGATTTGTGTAAACAACTGCACGGTACACTGCATTGCACTGCAGCAGAGAGACACAACTCATCTTCACCAACAGTGCTCCAAGTAATAAAACCTTTATGGCTTTGTAATAGTGGCCCTAAATCTTCTTGTCATTTCTTCTTTTGAGGTTTTTTTTCCTTGAATAAACAAAACAAACGCAGGTGATTTCCTGTATAAATCACCACCACTTTCACATACCTTGACTTGTTTTATTACTTTGCCCCTCTCCCTTGTGACCTGCAGCGTAACAGATGTGAGATCTGCAGGCCCAGAGCAGCCGTATGCGTGGGAGCTCTGTCCATGAGATGTGTGCTCTTCTGGGTTGCACCCATCTCAACATTTGAGAGCTCCCTTAAAATCTCTGGCTTGCCTCCACTCACATCTACGTCATCAACATCAAGACAGAGCATTGGCTTATTTGGGTGAGACCTAAAA